GAATGCCAGATGGTACAACCACAATATAAAATGGTTTGGCCACTTCTTAAGAAGTTAAACGTGTTTCCTAGGGTCCAGGAATCCTACTCCTAGGTATTTAGCCAAGTGACGTGAAAACAAGCTGTATGCAAATGTTTCAAGTAGCTTTCTTTGTAATTGCCAAGAACTGCGAATGACCCAGCTGTCCCTCAGCTCTCCCTCACGGAAAGGATGAACTGTGGTATATCCACGACAGACTAGTACTCGACAGTGAAAAGGAACAAGTTACTGACACGTGCAACAGCACGAATGAGTCGCTAATGCATTATGCTAAGTGAAAGCGGCCAGGCCCAGAAGGGTGAATACTACACAATTTTATTTATATGCCGTTCTGGAAAAGGCAAAATACTGGGACAGACTTAAGAGCGGTAGACGCCAGGGTAAGAGGGTGAGAGGCTGACTGCACAGAAGCGTGGGGAAATTTCGGGTGTGATGAAACTCTTCTGTACTTTGATTGTGGTGGCAGTTATACAACTATATTTGTCAACAAAACACAGAATCACATATAAAAAAAGATGGATTTTACTGTATTGAAATCACAACGTTTTCAAGTGGACACCATAAAACACAACACAAACTCCTCTGAATATGTCCAGAGTGTCTGCATGTCACAAGGGAACATCTATGAAGCGAGGCCATTACAAATAAAGGTCTACGATGTCATACCCATGTGTCCACGTCTTCCTTGCCACCCCATGTCCTCTGACAGGTCTGGCAAAGGGCACTGCAAAGGAAAGCACTCATCCCCCATCTTACCTGGGCCAGGGCTGACTGAAGGTTGAACGGAGCATTAGCGACACCCCACAAAGGCCCTAATACCTGCAGGCTAGAGGAAGCTGGGAAGGGCCACAGAAGTTCCTTCAAATGACAGTGGCAGCTGCCGTGCCCCTCCTCATCCTTCCTGACACCAATCCCCCAGCAGCGCGCACTTACCGGGTCCTGGCGGCGTTTACCTCCGCGGGCTGGCTCTCAGCAGCACAGCGCTCATGCCCTTCCAGAGGCGCCGAAAGTAGGCCAAGGCAACAGAGCACTCTAGTTACCGAGTGGCGGCCAATCACGGCCCCTCCCCAGGAGTGCTCCTCTGAGCTCTGAGGTCAGACTCGATAGCAGAGCCTGCTTTGTCAGCCTGAACCCAAAGGGACTGACTTGTTGGGCTTGTTTTTCCACAGCACTGACTAGGGACCCCAAGTGGGTCCTGCCCTGCTGCTGGCAATCCCTCCACCCACAGCCACCCCCTTGTCTGACCTCGCCTTTCCCTTCTCATGTGCTGAGCGGGGGCGGCCAGCTCCCAAAAGGGCATCCAGTTCGGGAAAGGCCACAACCACACCCTCCACCCTGCCATGGAACCCACGGCCCTGACCCGAGCACATCAGAGCTGCATCGCCTTCTCCTCCTGCCCAGAGCGTGTACTTGTTAAGACCCTCCCTGGAGTTGTTTCTGCAGGGCCACGGGGGACTGTACCTTTCATGTTCCCGTCTACAGACACCAGCTTCTTGGTCTCTGCGGTTAACAACAGCTCGTACGGGTGCTCGTCCTCCTCCCTGGCTGCACTCCCCTGGATTCTGGGGCTCGGCGCCAGGACCTGCAAGAGACGGACACTCAGTACTCCTCGTGGCCATGGCTAGCACCAAGGCAGACGGTGCCGGCCAAATGGGAGCCGGCTGGCTCCTTCCATACCTGAAGGGAGAGAGGCTGGGGAGAGAAGTGAGCAGTTCACGCCTCACGTGGATTCGCGACCGCCTCTCTGGTTAGACACCTGTGCTGCGAATCTCAGAGGCTTTTGATTAGAATGGTCCCCTTCCCTTGCCTCATTTTAGCCTTCAGAAAACGACACATAAACCCCGAGATCCTTCCTTCCCTTCTTTTCCTGTCTCCACAGTGCTCTGCATAATCTCTTCGGTAGATAATACTTCCCAAGCAGCTTTTAGACAGGCTGCATCTTAAAGGACGTTCTTCTCCACATTTCTCCCTAATATCCACACGTACTAGGCAAAGACAGAGCCCTTGGCACCTGCTCAGAGAAGCAGTATGACTTCTGACAGACTGTAATGCTTGGCATTTACTAGACGCAGAGGGGTAAGTCTGTCTCCATTGGGAAGGATTTCCAAAAGTTGGCTTCCTATCACATTTATAATAGTACACTTTTTCAATTTTATTTGATTTTTTGCTATAAGGCACATGCAATCACCAGAGGGAGACAGTGAGAGAGAAAGTGGGAAATCACTCCCTAGTGGGGATGGCCACACCACAATCCCTTCTCTTCCATTCTCCTCTCAGGACTTTGGACACACATGCACCTGTGCCCGGTGTGCTTTTCAAGCCCAAGGTCCAGGACTAGAATGGCGGAGTCGGCCACATGGGTTCCAGCCCCTTAACCACCGTGCCACCTGTGGGGCTGACAATGTGCTTTTAAGTTACGCCCACCAATCTCTGCTCTGAGGAGTAGAAGGCTCGGAAGTTGGAATTCCAATGAGGGAGAAAGCAGCTTGGCTTACTAAGAAATCCCTAATCCAGGCAGCCAAATGTCTCAGATGAAATAACTGGACGAGGGCTGGCTCCACCACCTGCCAACTGAGAGGCTTTGGCCAGCTGAGGGCCTGGGGGCCGCAGCTGGGCATGACGCCAGTGTAGCCAAGCTTCCCCTCGAACCATGCCAGAAACACCACGCTATTGCTACAGCCACACTGGAATGGAGATGGACACCTTCTGCGTGAGGATAACTCCAGCTCATCTGCTCTATGAACCCAATGCTTGTTTCACAGGCACGATAATAGGAACGGGCTAATCGTAGGAAGGGTTCCAGCAATGAAAAGAGCAAGCCAAAGCACACACTCTCCTTGTGCAGTGCGGCTGGGACAGCAGCGTGTTACAAACAAGGGGCTGTAAGAGGGTGATTCCTGCCTCCCCCTAAGGAACACTGCTGCCCTTCAACGGAACTCCTTGGCACAAAACCTCCTCCTGCACTCATGCCTCCCACAGCTCACTGGAAATGCCTCCGGTCTGGGAACCATCAGGGTCTTTCTCGCGTCTCTGAGGCAGAGCGTTGTGGATTGTGGCCTCATGAGAGACCACAAGGGCTCGAGCGATGGAGACGGAGAGGGAGACAGCGACGCTGCAGCCTGCTTGTTAACAAGGCTGCCACTCTAAGGGCAGAGTGAGAGTCTGTCCAAAATTCTGCT